GCGTATATAAAAAGGCACCAGTGAATGAAACAGCACACATATTTAAAAATCTTGAAGCCTGTAAGCAGGTAAGGACAAACTTTTTGTAAAGGAGGACCATGTGATGAAGTCAGAGGACATGGAAGCCAGATTGTGAGGGCAGTGTGGGTAAGCTGGACTTAATGTTGACCCTGAAAGTTATGGAGAATAGATAAAGGATTTTGAGCGGGGAAGTGCACTTGAAAAGTCTAGAGTGGAAGGAAGTAGACTGGTAGGAAAAAAACCCAGAGGAAGCTGCTGGGATTATCAGGAAGAAGAATGATTCACAATGTAACTGTCAGGTTTGGTGACTTCACTGCTCAGGAAGATGAGTAGGGAACCTTGGTAGCTGGTGATTTTGCTTACAGAGAGAGTGAATACAAGAGGAGAAGCAGTTTTCAGTGGAAAACGATGAATGCATTTTGAGTTTGAGCTTCCTATGGAAGGAATGAGTGGCGACATCCACAAGAGAGTAGAAGTTGTGGTCAGGTGCTCTGCAGAGCTCTGGATACAGTGGTGGTGGTGATGATGGTGGTGTTTTTCTTTGTATGGTTGGTTGGTTTTTGGTTTGGTTTGGTTTGGTTTGGTACTGGGGATCAAACTCGGGACCTTGCACCTGCAAGGCAAGCAGCAGAACCACTGAGCTAAATCCCCGGCCCGATGGTGGTGTTTTTGACATGGAGTCTCACTGTGGTCCCCAGGCTCAAATTCACAATCCTTCTACCTCAGCCTCCCAAGTAGGTGGGATTGCAGGGGCACACCACCACAGCTGGCATGGGTAGAGTATGGATTTAGGGGGCAGCTGCCCATGGTGTGCATCTAGGAATTGTGCATTATATAAGAAAAGTGACTGCCTGACAATGTGGCCTTGGAGAAAGCAATTATTTATGGAAGAGAAAGCTGAAGTACCCCAAAGGTTGCATCTATATTTTATAAACCATTATCTACACCTGTTTGCATTTGAGACAACATGAAGGGAACCAAAAGGAGGATAGCACCCCACTGGTACAGTCCTTAGGAATTACAAAGCCAAAGAAAGGGCAGCAAGGATAGCCAAGCCTAGAATTCTTCAGTCTGTAAGGTGTGGACATTTGTAAGTCTTCCATTACTATTGCCATGTCATTGAGGGACTCTTAGAATAGTAACAAAGCATCTTACAGGTCACCTAATCCAGATGTCCTCTTTTGGCACATGAGAAAATTGAGGCTTGAAGTCCCACCCTGTGCTAGTCTCTTCATCTGTAAACTATAGGTGTTAGTGCCCCAACAGGAAATACTCTATATGACTCACTCAATATAATAAGGTAATTCAAGGTTTGTTTAAGACAGGACTTAACAAAGACATGGGTTTAGGGGACTCAGGATGGTGCCAGACCTTGACTCAGTAGCACCCATGCTGTTAGCATTCCCAGGCTCAAAAGGACGAAGGGGAGGAATCCAGAGGGAAACAAATAGAGTAAGCTGCCTGAGGTGGCCATGACTGTGTGTTGACAACACAGCCTGCTGGAGACCACTTGCTGGAGGAAACCAAGGAGTTAAGGACATGACCTTCTCTTCTCCCTCTCTCTCTGAACTCCTGCCAAAGCTTCCCATTGGCCAAACTCAATAAGAAACTGAAGGCATATGGCAGATAGAGGTCTACCTCCAGGGCAGAGAGCATCTGGAGAGGCAAAAGGAAGAGCCCCAGCACAGTGTTCACACCCTGCTTCTCTGCTCAGTCAGACCGACAGTTTTTTCAGGATCTTGGTGAAAGGGTACATGAATAAAAGACTGTTAAGTAGATTATTAAGTGAACGCAGTTTATTCTGACATGTATTTTGAGTCAGAGTTGGCCTTGGCTCTACTTTATCTTATATTGTTATTGAACTGCTTCAAAAAATTGTGAATAGAGATCAAAGCAGTTTAAACAGATACATTCACTTGTGTAAATATCCTTGAACTCCTCCCCACTTTCTGCTACCCCTCCTGTTGCCAAATCCATTCAGCACCTCTAGAGGCTGTTAATACATGTAATGGTTGTAATAAACATTGTATTTGCTTTAGTTCCAGCTGGCTTCAACCACCAAACTCTGTCCATAGTTCCTATTGTTATCTTTGCTTACTAGACAACTCCATTGTTACCATTGGTAGCTACCTTTGTCACAGATTTCTAAATGTTGATCTTTAAATATTACACTCATTGTTTCCTACAACATGTTTTTAAATTTAGATTTGACATTATGCTTTGTTTTTAAGGACAGTTAGAATTATTCAACATAGAGGAGCTTTTAATAAAAATTAATTATATTGTTAACTGTCCTTCCTTCTTGCACTAAAACCTGAAACATTTTTATCAGTAATGTTCACTCTTTATAAAGCTCTCAAATAAATAAATTTCTGCTTATGTGTGACTTCAAGTGCCTTAGGCAGTCTTCCATCAGTTTTTATAGGCACAAGATTATAATTCCTAAAAAAAGGAATTTATGTTTTACCATTAGGAAAATTTGTTCTCAAGAACTTAGAACTAGATTTTTAAAATTGTCATCATTTGAGTAGTATACTCTTAGAATAAAGAGAAAATTAAAATAGATTACATATTTTTAAAAGATGAACAAAACTAAGAAAAATTTAGTATAAAATAATAGCTAAATATTCTATTATTAATCAAAATTGAAAATAAACTTTTAACTAAAAGAAAAACAAAGAAACTAGGAGGGGGAAATTTAAGAGGCTAAAAATAGAAATCAAAAAATTATAAAACAATAATCTTCCCAAAGTGGAAATAAAACCCTGCGTGAGTTTTTAAAAATAAATAATACAGCTAAACTTCTGATAAGCCTGTCAGATATAAAGAGAAAAAATACATTAAAAAAGAGAAAATCAGTATAACCAAGGAAACCAATAAAATAACTGTAAGAAATACTGCATTCATACTAAAACCAATGCATTTTTTAAAATCTAGATTGGGTTTTCATAGAAAATATTTTATCTTAATCAAAGTTGACTTAAAAAGAGATTGAAACCTGAACGGACTATGTTTGGTAAAGACACAATGCTAAGAAAGATGCAAAACCAGATGATTTTATGGGTAAATTTTATCCTCAAGGGACTAATTATTTTTATGTTATTATACAATTAAAGAATATAGGAAAGATGGAAAGCTTGCATATCCCTGATATTGAAACATGAAAAAATTAACAGAAAACTATAGATTAGTCTGCTTTATAAGTACAGGTTAATATATGAGTAAGGTTAATATCGTAAATAAATATTAGCAAATAGAATTCTCAGGTTTCTTAAAAGATTAATATGGAATGATTAGGAATGATTTTTTCAAGAAGGCAAGAATGGTGTTATACTAGGAAATTTATTAATATAATATGTCATTTATAAAATAAAGGAGAATGGTCATTTTCAATAAGTATTTTTTAAATCATTTGATAAAAATTTATTCTGTGTTTTGAGTGGTAACTAAATTTTAAATAGAAAGGAACTAAAACTTACCAATATTGTTTTCATTTTTACTGTATAAACATTTATTTTATGATCATAATGGTATCACAGACTAAAGTATTGAAAATGAAGATAGCCCTACTAAAATTTTTTTAGAAAGATGAGTAACCAATCAGAAACCACAGTTGCCTTAGAACAGCTTAAAATAATGCTGTATTCAGATTAAAATAATGCTGTATTTCATCTCCTGTAATGCTGTATTTCATCTCCTATAATGCTAGATTGTAAAAGAGTAATCTGAATTGAAGTGAGAAAGTAAATGTGCCTTCACAGGATATGTAACCCACTCAAGTGGAACTTTATGCACAGTTGGTACCTGCACTTCTGTCACAATGTGTCAGAGGAGCGAAGAAGTGTTTCTCCAGCTAGAAATATTAATAAAGCAGAGATACAGTATGTAACTAAAAACTGGACCCAAATTGGATGGACTCTCAGTAAAAATACCATCTTCTCTTTGATCATTGAATTTTGCCCAGTTATTTTTCTAAGAATGATTGCCTTAAAATAGTTTCTTTGATATTTGTTAAATTTTTCTTGTATGGATATAAACAAATGGCTCACACATGGAGATATAACTCAGTGAGGGACCAAGATAAAGTCCGGATACCTAAGTTTTTCTCAAAACCTAAGGATGATTCTGTTCAAAGTCAAGGTTGAAAACCAGCAGTATAGTCTAGTGTGTGACTGGAGTATAAAGGGTATGGAAATATTGTGGGAGATGAGGCTGGTAAAATATATCAGAGCTTACTGATAACTGGAACACCATCATTTTGGCATTGTTAAATTGTGTTTTTTATTTCTATCACATCACCATGATTCCTCCATTAGATATCAGCCAGATATCCCTTAAATAAATTTGAGCCCTACATAAATTCAAAACAAAGTATGTTAAATGAGATAAAGGGGGAAGCTGTTAATGTTGCTGATTACTGCAAAACTTAACCACCACTTCATTATTTTTTATAATCTTGTCAGTTGACTGGACTCAGCTGAGCAATTCTGCTCTCTGTGATGTTGGGCGGGGCTGCATTCATTAGGGAATCAGTTGGTCTTGACTGTTCAAGATGGCTTGCTCACGTGGCTTTTAGCTGACAGCTCAGCTGGGTCTGGGGACCAGAACATTTTGGGGGGCTTCTCCTGGCAAGGTAACTGGGTCCCAAGAGGAAGCATCTCAAGAGGAACTATTTGAAAAGGCCCAGGTTACAAGGGTTCTTGTGACCACACTTTTGTATCCTCAGACATTGTTTCCATCCCATTCTACAGGTCAGGCAAGTCCCAAAAGCCAACCTGGATTCAATGGAAAATGAATAAACTCTGTCCCTTGATGGAAGGAACAGTATGTGCATCAAGGAGAGGAGGAGATTGATAGGAACTTTTCTAGAGAGTTTCTCACCAGTCCTAATGCACCAATACATAAAGCTGAATTTTAGGAAGTTTAGATAGATGTTGATAATAATACAAGAAGACAAATCAATAAAGACAAAAGGGGTCTGAATAATACAAGATGTTTATGTAGTAGAGTTATGTATTCAGTTTTTTACCTAACAATAAAGGAAAAGCCCTCAATTTCAAGTATCCATAGAGTATCTGCCTCTCTACCCTGCCCAAAACAGGAAGCACTTAATCCCCTGTACATGCATAAATCTAAAGTCTTAACATCATACATCTTCTTCAGGCCTCAGCCTGGCTGAAGTGATTGCAGTTGTGTTTGTTTCATCTGTTTGATTCACTCTGCACTAAATGGGTTCTTCTGTTTTCTGGATCTTTTCCTCTGGATGACTTCTTTTCTCATGTGGTATGAATATTTGTGTTACACATTCTCACTGAAGCTCTTCCCAGTTTTTGTTTGTTCCCTGAAAAGAGCAGCATGGAAGGGGTTTTATTTTGATTCCCCAAGTGTCATGATAAGTTTGACTTGTCCTCCAGGTTCTGGAGACTCCAGGGTCACATTCCATCAGCCTCTGGAATCTTCTGATTTTCCAATAATATTGACCTGAGAATTGAGGTGGAGTTGTTGCCGTCATCTATTTTCCATTTTTTACCTTTTAGGTCCTGTAAGAAAAAAAATAGCTTTAAATAAGAGGTTTTGGGTCTTTGCTTTCTGAAGCTTGTGTTATTTTGCATTCATGAGTGAGGATGATGTCCTGGCCTGTGAGTGAGGAGTCCTGTTTGTTTACTGCATTTATCACAGTGTCACCCTAGATATATGGAGTTCTTTGCAAAGTGAATCTTGTCCTTAAACCACTAGGGATGGTGCACTGAAGCCAGCTGCTGTGTCTCTCAGTAACACCCAGATCTGCTTGCCATTGCAGGTTGTCACATTGTGGTACCGTGCTCCTGAAGTCTTGCTCCAGTCCAGCTACGCCACCCCCGTGGATCTCTGGAGTGTTGGCTGCATATTTGCAGAAATGTTTCGTAGAAAGTAAGACATACACTTACTTTTTGAAATCTTTAGTAATTTAAGTGGCAGTGTAACATTTTCTTTTTCAAGGTCATGGTCTGGATCCACCTGTCCCTTCTGAGCCTCCCCTGAAAACACTCATTCAGTATTTACAGTGCAGTTTTGTGTACCTGAAGCTTTGAACTCCTAGAAACTTTGGGAAGGAAAACCTCACTGTTGTTCCAATTTACATTGCTTTTCTTAGTGATAAGATATGGTGACCCCAGTATATTATAATATTTTTTAGTGAAAAAAAATTCTCAAGGATATTTATCCACAGGAGGAGAACTATTAAGTACATGGAAATTTTGATGGTGAAAATAGTTAAAAACAGAATGTTTAGGCTAGCCTCCAAGGCAGAGGCAAGAGCAGTGTCAGTACTGCCACTTGGAGGTAAGTTTGGACATTTGGGGGCCCTATAGCAGGCAGAAATGGAATGAAGGCATGTAGAAATTAAAGACATAGGGCTGGGGATTTAGCTCAGCGGTTTCACCACCTGCTCCGCCAAGCGCAAGGACCTGAGTTCGATCTCCGGTACCAAAAAAAAAAAAAAGAAATTAAAGACATAAAGATGATTTGCTCAGAGAAGGGACAGCCTAGTGATTGAACAGTGATCTGAAAAGTACCTGAGGGTTTGTGATTCTCACTGGATGTCTAAGTCTGAACCACCACACACTGGAGATGTTTCCAGCAGCATTCAGAGGGCAGGTGGGTGAGGTGGGTGACCTCCAGGGTCACCCTGAGTATGAAAGTCTGTGATTCATTTGTTTGATTTTCAGGTCACAAGAAATAGCCAAACAGTATAATAAAAATCTGCCAAGAAAATGATCCCTACCTGGGTACTAAGTTCAGCTTTGTCAAAATTAAACAAAGAACTTCACCATAATCTAATCTCTCTTTTCTGCTTTTATTTCCATGGGAAAATGTGAGTTGAGAAGCTGAGCATATTCCCACTGGACATATTATGTTCAAATTGTGGCTACATGATAGTTCATTAGGAAAAATGGTCAGTCATTACTTTGTTTGTTTGTTTATTTTAATCAAGTTTTGTGCAGTGTATTTTGGGGACTCTTTCTAGAACTCAGCAAATTTTATCTGTAGCTCATAGGATGGGATAATGGCAAGGAGATCAGAGTAAGCAGACGTTTAACAGCAGCCTCCAGTGCCAGGTACAGTGTCAGAGCTGTTTCTTTGTGTTACCTTTTTAAATTTTTACAATGAGAGGAAACTGCAGTGGACTCGGTGATTTGTGTAACATCAGGCAGCTAAAAAGTAGCAGTGGTATGAATCCAAAGGAAGTCTTGTGAGCTCTGATCTAGTGTTGTTTTTCTACAAGGGAAGGAAGAAAAAGTAACATTCAGCTCAGCGGCAGTGTCTACCAAATGGGCTAAATAAGTGGTTTTGACTGGATGGCAGCATTAGCATCGCTTGGGCCCTTTTCAAAAATGCAAATTCTCAGGCCCCACCCAGACCTACTGAATTTGAAGCCTGTGGGCTGAATTCCAGCAACCTGTGTTTTAACAAGCCCTCCACTCAATCCTCATACACCCTTCAGGGCAAGAATCACTGGGTTCTATGACAGTATCACCAGGGATGGGCAGAGTGCAGCTCCTGGACCGCTCCCTTGAGATTCTGATTCACTATTGGGCTGGGGCCAGGAGTTCTTATTTTTTTAAGTCCCTCTAAAAAAATGTTCCTCTGAGGGCTGGGGATTTAGCTTAGTGATTCTACCACTTGCCTGGCAGGCGCAAGATCCCAAGTTCGATCCCCTGTACCAAAAAGAAAAAAGAAATGTGCCTCTGGTAACTCTTTGCATCCAACACATTGTGTTATAGGCTCGTGGTCAGAAATGCAAATAAGTTACTGTGAGTAGAGCAGAATGGAAATTAAGATTGTCATTCCAGATCATCCAAAAAATAACTAAGTACAGCTAAAACCTGGTTAGAGAAATGCTTATTAGAATTACATATATGTATCTAGAATTGTCCTCAATGTAAAGATGGAGCCTGTCTTTTGGTGTGGGGAGAGGATAGTCAGTTAATTTTCAATAATACAGACTTAAATATTAGCCATAATTGATGGTAAAAACAAAGTTTTTTAAAACTGTTGAAAGATAAAATATAAGATAGATATATTTATTTATTCATTTACTGGTAAGGAATTTGCTTTATTTTTAAGTATAGACAGCCCCCTGTTTATGGAACATTTACAAACCCGAGTTTTATTTTTAAGCATTAAAACATATTCTCCACTGAAATGATAGTCTAATTGGTAATCAGCTTCCCACCCTAGCTTGCAGAATCCTATATATCCTGGAACAAATTTGAAACATCAATTGTGCTAATTTACCAAAACCTTTTTTTCTATGGGAAAATGTATTCTGTTTTCCAGTCCAACATGACATAACTACCCCTCTCCACCCTAGCATTGGAACTGAGAAAGGGAATTCTCTTGTTAGGGGCTAAGAAAAGATTCTTTTGACAATATGGCAACATTGTGTTTTGTTTTCTGGTAAAACAAAGTTGGGTAGACCCACTGCCTCTTAAAATATGCACATAAGAAAGTACTCTTTCTTCTGGAGTCTCGTACAAAGGTGGTAAATTGATAAATAATTGCGTGGAGAAGGAAGCAATATCAGAAACCAAGTCCATGTGCTTTAAGACTGAAATAAAATGAGCCCAAGCCAACCACACATCCTTGCAGCAGTGGGAGCCTAGTCCCCTGGGTAGTTCCCACTGATGTAGCTGTAACCTTGAATGTGACCATGGGATCTCACCTGTGTTCTGACTTAGTTCATGTTTGGTATTTCCTGTGATACCATCCAGATATCTGAATATGCCATGCTTCTTATTTATGCCAAATGTATCCTGGGGTCCCAACCCCAAGCTTTATTTAGATCCAACTTCTGACTCACTGTTGACCCAACTGAGAAGTCACAAACCATTCAGAAAGCTCCCCTGTTACTGTACGCTAATTCTTTTTTTTTTTGAGACAAGAGTCTCACTATGCAGTTCAGGGTGGCCTTGAACTCACTATATAGCCCAGGCTGGCCTTGAACCCATGGCAATTCTCCTGCCTCAGTTTCCCGAATGCTGGGATTACATGTGTGCACCACCATGCCTGGCCTACTGTAGACTAAATCAGGAAATTTTGTGTGTCCACTTTGGGCTCCTACTTAGTGCTAAGGCAGTAATTCCCTGATTTTGTCATCTTTTTATCACCTTCATTGTCATTCCTGTATTCTTACAGCAACTATACTATTATTGACTTAATTTATTCACTACATTGAATTAGTTTACTTGCTTTATTTAGCTTCATTTTAAACAAAAATATATAAAATCAGAGATTTGTTGTGACAGTTGTATTTGCCTAATACACATTAGAATATATATAAACGTTAAAATTATTAAGAAACTTAGTTCATATTCATTCCCTGAAATTATCCCACATATCACCAGCAGTATATGTCAGATGTTAGAAACCCTGTAATAAGGTGTTTCCTTAAGTCTACAGATAACTTACTATTAGACTATTGGGCTGGTGGAGAAGAAAGGTATTTACATACACGGTGAGTGTGGTAAGCACTATGAAGAAGTGTGGGGTCCTGTGGGTGGGTATAATGGGAAGACTCTTTTGAGGAATGAAGATTTTTTTGTGGAAGGCAAGATTAACCTTCCTTAGAGGTCACGTTCTATTTGCTTATGTATGAAATCTTTGAGGAATAATTTTTTGTGTGTGTATCAACAAGGCTCACCATCCTCTGTAACCTAGGGAAAAGAAGTGAAGAGAGTTAACACTTGTCATGGGACACTCCCAGGGCTGGGACCCCCATATGCATTATGTCATCAAACTCACATCTGAGGGCTGTTCTTCCACAAGGAGTGTGAAGAACTCGTTTAGGAGCACAGAACTGTTAAATGGTAGAACCAAATTTGAGCTCAGGTGTACCAGACTCCAGAGCTTTTTTCTACTCTGCAGTATTTCTGCTCATGCTATTGTTTGTCTGTTGTTGCTGGAATGTTTCATGCATTGCTACAATGTAGCCCCAGTGGTATTTTAAAGAAGCCAAGAAGTAAGTTACACATTTAAGAGCTTTGATTTCCAGTTTGTCCTTTATTAGAAAGGTTGACCAATTCTAATACCATTAAGAGGTACATGCCTTCCATTCAGAACTGAATACCTAGGAAATATGAACTCAATACACAGTCTTAGGGCAGATGGTTGACAAAGAGCCAGTGAGTTTAAATACCATCTGTCACTACTATCTGGGTTTAATAATTGCCCACATTGACCCACAGAAGCATTCTGCAAAATGGATTAGAGCTGTGTTTTTCATCTTCCTCCTTTGACTCTTTGTGGGCTATCCATCTTTACTCCACATTGGGGTATTTTTTAATACTAAAAAATATTATTATGAATTTGGTCAGTAGCCCACTAGTCAGCTTGAAGGATAGATGGTTAGGTAAATGGATGGATGGAAAAGAATGATTTTTTTTCACTACATGGGAAAAGAAATGTATGACAGCAGCTCTCCAGGTACCTGTCAGTTGCCTTGTGATCCTGGTCAAAACTATTGTCTGTGGTTTTAAAATTACGGGGTTTTCCAGTTTAAGGCGAAGTCATGAAAAGAAAATGCACATTTTAAAAACAAAACATGCTACTGATTCTTTGAATATAGAGATTGTGGTAAACAGATAGTAATTCTTAGAAGTTCTGGGTTGGCAGCTCTGCTAATCCCTAGCTATGAAATGCAGATGCCACCAGGAAGAATATAATAAATACAGTCACTGTTGGAAGGAAACAGACAAGCCTCATGACTATATTTCCCATTGTGCCGTGGCCTCTAGGCTTGTTGTCATTGATTTCTATCAATTAAACACACAGCACTAAGAAACTGACACTGAAACTGTCTTTTGTGACTTAGTGGTCAGTGAGCCAAAAGTCTAAAATGTCACTGAGGGCCTTGCCAACTTCCCATCAGTGGCTGTGTTGATACATCTCTGTACTGGAGCACTCTCCTAATGACATCAACCAGATGAGACTCTGTAGTTGGCTGTTCTGGACACCAAGGCACCAGAGGCAAGCTCTGTCAATGATCACCTCGGATCAAGTCAGACCATGAGTTTGGAGCCCCAGCCTCAACCGGACTTTGAAGTTTATTCTCTCTTATGTGATATTTTCTTAGCTCTTTTATTCCTCCTCCATTTAGAAAACCAGCCAAATGGAAAAAAAATCAAAGGGGCATTTTCTTAGGTGAGGAAATACTCAAGATGGTACTCAGGAGCGATGTTGGTTGAGTAATACATACAGGATAGTTCTAGGTAACAGCAAATGAATACTTTTGTAATATGATCAATACTGGGTTCTTTTCATTCTTAGTGTGTAGCCTACTTTAACAGGAATTTGAAAAATATATACTACAAAGTCACCACCAGGCCTGGCCTTTCCCTGTGAGGGCAGCTCTGCCCTCCAGCTCCCCAACCTGGTGCCCCTCCATTCCGGCAACCTGCATCTGCTTGTTTTGTGATCCTCTCCACAAACTAGATTTTCTCTCTTAGTATTCTTCCTACAGTTCTGTCATCGTGTCCTTTTCTCTGACTTTTCATACTCCCATGCCTGTACCTAGCAGCCTACTGCTCCCTTCTGTGGCCCTCTGCATGCTGCTCTCCATCTTGGAATCCTTGTTATGTGACACAAGTTACCCTGCTTCCTTCAAGTTTTCCTCACAATCTCTTTCTTTTACCCTTTTCCTTTAGGTGCTCTGTCCCCTCTCAGAAGGGAATCATGGTCTTCTTTTCCATTTGCTGCTTTGGGATCATGATTCTGCCAAAGCCTCTCTACTTTTTCCATTTTCATACGCTCCTGCATCCCAGTATTCATTGCATTGCCTGAGACTAAGAATCACGGGTTTTTAGCATAGAACTACTACACAGTAAGAAAGAACTTTACTGATAGAAGTGCTTTGCACCTCGGAGACAGAAGACTTGGCTCAGCAGCTGCATCATTCAACTTACATTCTCCCATCCCCCTAGCATTCATTCATTTACCTTGGTGATGAACTCAGGTTTCTCTGCTCACATCTGAAAACCACTGTGCTTTAGAAATAGCATCATCAAATGCTCCACCATTACAAGATAGCTGGGCTGGGCTGGGCTGGGCTGAGAAGCTAGCTTAGCAGTAGAGCACTGGTTTCACGTGTACCACGAGAAAAGGAAAGCTCCATTTACAGACAGAAACAGGGACAGCTCGAGCACATGTGCTCACTTGGCACCTGCTATCTGGGGCTTGGCTGGCTTTGTCCCCTTTCATCAGGCTGCCTTCCCTGGTCCCAGACCGAGGCCAGTCTCGTGGGAGGGCTCCCTCCCCGCCAACTGCACAGCCCCTGAGCCCGAGTCGACTCCCAGACTCACAGCCCGGCACCAGCCTCATCGCCAGTTAGGTGAGATGAGTGAGGTGATGAGAGTCAGCTGCTCACCTCCCCTCCCTTCCACTCAGAAGTCACGCTTGATCTTCACCTTCTGTTTTCCTTCTGTTTCTGAAAAGCATACATTCTTCCTCCTTCCGAGGTTGTGCTCTTGATCCTGCTCTGCTGCTAGGCTCGCATCTCATCCATACTGCCCTTCTGGATCCCTTACCGCCAGCTCTTGGCACTTCATCTTGGAAAAGATCTTCCTTCCTCTTTCTCTCCCCTCAGTATTCCTCCTTCTCTTCACGAGCACACTTCATAAAGGAATACATGCACAGGGAGCCTCTCTTTCTGTGTCATTTGATCCGCTCTTAATTCTGTCCAGTGATAAAAACAATAGATAACATTTTGTAGGGACTTACTGTGTATCAAGTACTATATCCATTACTTGGTTTAAAATGCACTGTTTCTTTTAAATGTCAGGAAAATGTCATGAGGTTCTCTTATCATCTGCATTTAGAGATAAGAAAAATTTATTAGTGTCCCTGTGACCTCTTGCTCCACGTGCCACTTTCAGAAACAAGAATCGGAGGGAAAGAGCAAGCTAGGAGACTGAGGTGCCAGTCAGCTTTATTGTTAACAGTAATGGTAATCATCGTCTGCTTGTAAAAATGCCACATGGTACAGAAGTACAAAATGTAAATGTTGCGTGTCCTATATTTCCATCTAAAGTTCCAAAGATAATTCCTGAATATACTGGACCTACTTCCAGATCTTCATTAGGAATTGAAGAGTGTGGGTGTGTGGGTATGTGTGTTTATAAGCATGGAAATATATATGCTCACATTTTTTGGCATAAATTTTTCTCACAGAAATGGACTTACACTATTCTTCTAACTCATTTTTAAACTGATGAAAAGCTATCTTTTTATTTCATAATTAAACCAATTTTATGTTGGTAGACATTTAGATTTTATTCATTTGATTTTGGTTCTATTATAAACAGTGTTGCAGTAAAATCCTTGAGCTTATTTTGTGGAACATTCATCCCAAGTATTTCTGTATGGTGAATTCCAGAAGCAAAATTATAGGGTCAAATATCATGCATATTTTAAAAATTCTGCTAGCTAAACCAAATCACCCTCCAAAAAAATCTTAAACTAGAGTCTGGTTTTAGTTTAAAGTGGGACGTGAGAGTGAGAATTCTCCAAGATTAAGAAAGGTTGTTAAGAGTGAAATAAGATAAGAACTCTTATGTAAGCCTTGGCTACTTCTTCTACCCCTACTTAAAAATAATACCAGCTGGAAAATGTCAGTGAATGTGGTAATTTTATACAACTGTTGCTGAGCTTGGTGTGATGCGTAAGAGAGCTCTTTCAACTGTAAAATTCAATATGGGTTTCCTTTTTATCAGTTTGAGTAGTGATAGAGAAGTAGTCAACCTCGTTTTGTCAGTTAAAGTTATCTTAGATAATGTCCCAAGCAGTTTTTCAGACTAGTTTTTCCCCAGTGCACAGGCAATCCCAACGATCATTCCACAGAGTGCCACGGTGCCTGTGCTTAGAGAATAGTATGTACTGAGTTCTGATCTTCCTTCCAGGTGGCATCTAGAGTTAGGCCCTCTCTTCATGTCATCCTTCCTGTAAGTCACCAGAGCTCAGGATCATTAGTTGGATTTTGCTTCCTAGGTCTATGCCTTAAAGTAACGGGAAGCCCTTCTGTTATCTGGTTCATCTAAATTGAAAAGAATCAGACCAATACTTTTGAATCTATCTAGTCATAAAATGTTAGGTCTACCTGGTCACATCTTTCAGTCATTTAGTTGGATAAAGATACTTAATTTGAATAAATATCCACTCACTTTGGGGGGGGCGGTACCAGGGATGGAACTCAGGACCTTGCGCTTTCGAGGCAGGTGGTGGAACCACTGAGCTAAATCCCTGGCCCCTCACTTTTTAATTATAAAACATTACCAGAGAAATAAGGTACTTGATACACTGAAAGCCAATTGTTGACAGTAGTCAGTGGCAAATTTATCATCTCTTTCTCATGAACAAAAGATTCCCAGCCCTACAAAATAAAAAACACGAGACTAACACAAAGTTATTTTAGCTGAGGCATGGACCTCCAATCTGAGTTGAGTTTGCCCATGATGTCACATTTACGTTTGTTGCTTTGTACCTTTTGTGCAAATTTATTAGAGAAGGTAATAAATATAAGTAAATAATAAATGTCACTTTAGATAAATATAAATTCATGAAAGTATATTGTATGTCTACATAATTTTCCTCTGAACAATACCCAGGTGTTAAGTTACAACAAATGGTAAGATGTACAGGTTCTTATACTAAAAGCAATAGGTTGTAGGGACAGTCTGCAGGACACTTCATTCAGCCCACTGCTTTGGAGTGTTCTCTGTCTGATACCCAGGTGCCACTGTTTTGCACTGAGGGTCTGCCTCCAATCTGCCCTTCCCATGGTAGATGGAGGAGCTGGTGTCTGGGAAGATCCACTACTTGATTTAACTGAGAAGCATTGGACATTTTTCTTAACAGATGTAAGAGACTACCTACTTTATTTTTCTCTCTTCATCTTCTTTCCTCCTCTTCCCTCCACACTTTCCTTCACCTTCTCCTTTTCTTTCACTATTTTCCTCTCTCTTTTCTATTGACTCCTTCTGCTACTCTCTACCTTCTCTTCCTCCCATTTTAAATGTAAGAAATAATATTCAACATGATCTTCAGTGTTAACCTTCTCATGATAGTATTGGATTTATGATTTATTACTCCAGTTTTGCTTGCTAAATTAAATTTCCAGATACTAGATTTTGCTCTTAGATAAGATTAAGAGATTTTGGCAGCTATGTATGTATATGCATGCAAGTAATTTCATGAGGACAAAAGGTGTGGCAGAGACAGCTAGAGACATGTGGACTATATTTACTTACAAATTAAAATATTGCAAGAGACAATTCAAAATGGCAGATTTACAGTGGAAATTAGCTTTTACTATCAACCGATTTGGATGTTACCAACGTTTTTTTTTTTATCACTGACACAGTTAATTTTCTGGAAATTCCATGTCCAAAACTTGAGAAGACCTACTCAGTATTAAATGTTACAGAATGAATTCAAAGTAATATTTACATTGTATTGACTATAAATTGGTTAGATTGCTTCTTTTTTTTTTTGGTACCAGGGATCCAACTCAGGACCTTGCACTTGCAAGGCAGGCAGCGGCACTAGATTGCTTCTTTTAGAAGAATGAGGACAAAAAACTAAAAATTTTAAAAATCTTATAACATCAAAAAATATTGAACAAGGCAAAATAACATTAACCAAAAGATTCAAGAAACAAAAAAATTCTGAAAATGATCAATTAGCAGAATCAGAAGAAAATTTCCAAAAATAGTAAACTAATGCAAAAGAAGGCTAGCAGACATATTCTCTAAAACAAAAACAAGAAACTAGGGGAAGTGGGAGGGGTAGGGGAAAGGAATAAATACGAGAAAAGGAAAAAATGGAAACAAAAGTCTTTGTAAATAGGGAGGGGTGAAGGGGTTGAAGGGAGGGTGGGGGAATGGGAAAAAAATTAAGAAACAAGATATATCATGTAAAGGTACAAACTCCCAATGATGAATGTCATCAAATTGTATACCTAAAATGTACCAATAAACTTAATGAATAAAAAAACCAAGAAACTACAAAAATTGAACATTTTAAAATGTGTAAACAAGAAACGAAGCTGGAGAGATGAATAAGATGTGCAATTGTAAGGAAATCAAGTACTGTAGCACTTAATGAGTTAAAGTAAGTATAATCTGATAGAAACTAAAAGTCAAATTAATATTGTAGGAAATGGAATCATTGATGTGTAAAGGACAATATTGGAAGTTCTCATGGATGTTAATGAAAAGAATAAAAGATTTCAAAAGGTGAGAAAATGACAAGTATAGAGGATAGAGAATGGAAATCTGGGCTAAGAAGTTGATGGTTTTTGAAATGCAGTAATCAAAACTGTAATCAAACATTCCTAAGTAAGAAAAGGCAGTGCAAAATCTGCAGTATTTTGAGGAAAAAGTCATTGAAAGAGACACAAACTGACTTTTTTAAATTCTTAAAAGATATTTATTTTTCGAAGAGACACTTTGGGGTTCTGAAAGCTGGGAGTACACAAAACTCAACTTGGTTCAACTAGAAACAAAAGCATTTGTTGGCTCTTAAATGATCACTCCAGAGAAAAGTGAGCCTTGGGATGGACTGGTGTAACCCAAAAGCTGCAGCTCCATTTTTATGTCCAGGCATCTTCAAAGACCATCTTCACTCATGGCAAAGTGATTTTAGTAGCTCCAAGTTTCACATCTGTACCAGGATACTTTTATAAAGAATTTGTCCCATGAATATTAGGACGACAATCCATGGAATCCACTCGGAAGAATGACACAGAGCACATCCTAGAAAATGTTTGAATCGGGCCAGGGATTTAGCTCAGTGGTTCCGGCGCCTGCCTCGCAAGCACGAGATCTCTAGTTCAATCCCTCGTACCAAAAAAAAAAAAAAAAAAAAAGTGAATTGCATGGAGAAGGAAAAAAGCCTACAAGAATCAAATAAATCTATTTTAAAACTCAACTGAAAGGCAAAAAAAAATTATGCTGGCCTCAGTCTTCTCTTTTGTTTAACTAAAAGCCAGAAGAGAATAGATAAAATTCTATAGCTTTGTGGGCATAAAAATCTACAGCCAAAGTACTTTATACTCAACAGAGTTGTCGTAAATGTTTGAAGGCAGTAGAATGTATCAGATGTACAAGGATTCCATTACTTTGTGTTTGTTGGTTAAGTACCAGTTGGACTAAGAAGGACCTCAAAACATCCATTTTAAGAATGGGATGCCCTGGTTGAAAGTCCTGGCAGATGCTTGGTGGGATTGTCCAGACCCCAACATCCACCTCTTCCCATAGCTCTCAGGAGGGAGGGACCTCAGCAGGCCTCACCTGTTGGTACTGGCCACTAATGACCCAAAGGAATGTAGTTGGACTAGGATATTTTTCACAACAGCATCTGGATGAGGCTTAAAAGCAAATAATTTCATTATGAATTATTAGTCCTTATTATGAGAATAGCCCTGTAATTGGATTTCAGAAACTCCCCTGAAAAGCCTCAAGCAAGAGTACACCATCAGATTTAAAAGTTTCATTAAATATGACTAAAATTATGCTTCATTTTAGCCCACCTGTCACTAAAAAGAAATGGTCTCTGAAGATCTTCAACAAAAATAGAGAAGAGTAGGTTAAAGTGAAAGACTAAAGATGAAATAGAAAGGGAGATGAATGAGATAAGAAAGTAGCATAAAAACAAAGTAAGAGTAGCCAAATTACAGC